GGGAGAGGTTGCCGCTGGGGATCACAGGGAAGGGGCTAGGGGGGCTTTTTCACAGACCGAGCAGGCGAGGAAGGTATTGATGGGGCCACAGGGGTAGCAGGAGGCACTGCGCTGTTGTGCTGCCCCTGAAGCTTAGCCCAGGCTCGAATGACCAGCTCTGTGTCTGTGCCCACAGAGGATGAGCTGCGGTTACATCCTGTGCACGGTCCTTCTGTCCGTGGCCGTCCTCCTGGCTGTCACGGTGACCGGCGCCATCCTCTTCATGAACCACTACCACACGGCCGTCACCGAATCCCCGCCCATCGTCAGCACCAACCCCGATGAGGCCAATGCCCTGGTCACCATCGAGAAGGCCGACAGCTCCCGCATCAACATCTTCATCGACCCCAACTGCCCGGACCAGGCCAGCAGCCTCACGCGCCTGGAAGGCCTCCAGTCCTCCATGCTGCGAGCTGTGACGGACCACAGCACTGAGATGAAGTCGTCCAAGGGGCAGGAGAGGGCTCTGCTGGCCTCTCTGGCAGACGAGGTGGCCAAGCTCCTCACCCACACCACCCAGCTGAGAGCCGACAGCGACAGCCTGAGGAAGGGGCACAGCGCCATGGGGCAGGAGCTCAGTGCCCTGCAGAACGAGCAGGGGCGGCTGATACAGGTGAGCAGGACTGGGCGGTCGTTGCGGTTTCCAGGTGTGCAGCATCCAGCTGGAGACCTGAACCATCCAGGAAAGGTTTTGCAAGACACCCCATGGCCCATTCGGTCTTTGGTGCCAGCCGAGACTCCCAAAGGAGGGGACGGTACCCCAGTGCTAGGTGGAGCTTTGCAGGGAGGACACTGCTCTCCCATGGGCTGCACGGGGTCCCACGTGTGTTTGGAGCCTGGTGCTCCAACATAGCTAGAGCAAGCAGTGACCCCGCTCCCTCCTCAGAGCCCAGCCCCAGTCAGAGCAGCACAGGGTTAGACCTGGAAAGCTTTCATGGCGGCTTACCTTCCCCCTGGTGCAACCCACTGGCTCCAGTCCCCGCCATGCTGGGCACATGCCCACCTGGCGCGTGCTTTGATGATGGAGATCATCATCACAAGCTGGCACAATCACCTGCGGGGAGGAGGGGACGTGAAACTTAGATGCAGGGCTGCACACACCAAGCAACAAAACAGCAGGCCCAGCTTTTCCACCCCTGGGCATGGCCCATCTCCCGCAGGCAGCAGCCTCGCCAGCCGGAGTCCCCAGCTTGGTGGCTTGCCTGGTAATGTGCAGGCGTTTCCTCTGGGTTATTCCTCCCTGGAGCACTGTTCCCTCCGCCTCCCGGAGCCAGATGGGGCTGTGACTGCAGTCAGACAGGCATGCCCCAGCAAGCACTGAGTAGTACATGGGTACCGGCGGGATTGCGGTCACAGCACAGATTGAGTGAGATCTGCCAGACACCTTGGAGAGACAGGTGAAAAAAAACAACTCAGGCCCAGAACGAGCTCTCGGCGCCTGCTGCTGGGTCAACACTTGCTCCGGCGGGTTTACGCAAGCTGCGGCCCCGGGGACGTAGACTTACCCCAAGTCGCTTGCTCCACTTGGGTCACTTCATGGAAGTCCGGAGCCAATGCCGAGCAGCTGCTTTAGGTCATGGGTGGTTTTTTTAGGTCACGGGTGTTTTTAAAGTGACACAGGAATCCCATGCAATGAGGCGAGGGCTTTCTGTGTCCTGCTGGAAGCAGGCAGAACAGCTCCTGGAGGGAAGGGTTTAGGTAGGGGAGGGGTAATGCATGCCCTTGGGGGCATTTGCTAGGTACCGCACGGGCTGGGAAGCACTGGAAGGTGCTGCCTCTCCCATGCCAGCCCACCAGCCAGTCTCCATTGCAAGAGGTACTCAACCCACCTAAGCCAGCCAGGCTCCGCACCTGCCCTCGGGAGAGGCCTGCAGCGCTGTTGCCTCTCAGGTGCCAGGAGGGGGGAAAGCCAAGAACCAGCATCTCCCCCTGACCCACTTGTGTCCCCCCTGCCAGCTGCTCTCGGAGAGCCAGACCAACATGGTGCAGCTGGTGAACTCGGTCAGCGACGTCCTGGACACCCTGCAGAAGGATCGTGGCCTGGCCAGGCCTCGGCTCAAGGCTGACTTGCAGCGAGCTCCGGCCAAGGGAGCCCGGCCCCGGGGGTGCTCCAATGGTGAGAGTCGGCCTGCTGACCCTGCAGGAGGGAGAAGGGGTGGGAGGGAAGGGGCCTGGCATGTCTGTGCCCTTCCCCATAGGAGGACAGAGGCCATGCCAGGCAAGTGGCAGCCTTCCCCACTTTGCAGCTGTCTTGCATCTCTCGAGGCACGTGCACCCTGGCTCCGTGCACCAGCTCGGGAGGCAGCCAGCCCATCTCCTGGCAGAAGTGGCAGCCGGAAGGCCAACGGGCCCGTTCCTGGGACTCCTGCTCACTGCCTGATCGGTGCTGCGACGGGTCCCCTAGAAGCCACTGAGACCTCGGTGCAGCGCCTAGCAGGGAAAGCCGGAGAGCGAGGGGGTGGCGAGCAGGCAATTAGAGCAAGCATCGCAGGCGAGGGCCAGGACCAAGCAGCATGGCTCTAATTTAAACAATTAATTAACTTGGCTTTGCTCTTCTCCCTCCCATGTGGTGCTCCAGGCTCCCGGCCCCGGGACTGTTTTGACATCTACACGAGCGGACGGCAAGAGGACGGCATTTACTCGGTCTTCCCCACTCATTACCCCTCGGGCTTCCAGGTCTACTGCGACATGACGACGGATGGAGGCGGCTGGACGGTAAGCCGGCTGCTCGCAGTGCGGAGTGGGCTGTCGGGGGAGGTCCCTTAGGGGCTGGCATAGGCTTGGGATGGTTCAGTATCCTCATTAATGATGGGGACGTTGGGATGGGGTATACACTTATTAAACCAACGGATGACACCGAGCAGGGTGGCGTTGCAGGCACTTCTCAGGGCAGAACTGGGATTCAAAGCAACCTCAGTACATTGGGAAAATGGTCTACAATAGACAGACAATCAGACTGAGTCAGAACAAGTGCTGCACTCGAGAAGGGAACAATCAAATGTGCAAATACGCAGCGGGGAATGCCTGCCTGGGTTGCTGTGCCACGGGAAAGGGCTCGATCACAACACAAGCGGATTCTGAGTCAGCAACGCAATCCTGCTGCAAGAGAAGCCGGCAGCATGCTGGGATGTATTAGCCTGCGCATTATGTGCAAATCACAGGAGGGGAGGCCTCGCCTGGAGCTCTGGGGTCGCTTTTGGGTGCTGGGCTTAAAGAAAGATGTGGACGATTCAGAGAGACGGCTCAAGGAGAGGCTGAGAAAGCTCGACGTGTGAAGAAAGGTTGAACGACTTAGGATGGTTTAGTCTAAGGCTGTGGGGGGGAGATGTGATAGCAGGCTTCAAATATAGGGGAGGCTGTTGTTAAGAGGAGGGCAATGGAAAGCTCCTTTTGTCCCCCTGGGGCAGGGCAAGACGTCGTGGGCTTGCGCTGCAGCAACGGCAACTCAGGGTAGATGCCTGGAAGACAAGTCTAACTGGGTGGGGGGATAAGCATGGGGGCAGGCTACCCGCAGGGGCTTGGGCATCTCCCGTAGTGCAGATTAGACGAGCATTAGTCCGGGATGGTGGAGACAGGTGATCCTGTCTTGGAGCAGTGGGTTTGTCCTGGGACCTTCCAGCTCTCACTTCCACGGTTGCTTGAGGAACAGCTTTGCAGTCTCACGGGCTACCCTGACAAGTAGCGACCTCCCCGTGGGATGGGAGGGAGGGCATGGTACAGACCCCAAGGTCTGTGCCAGGGGGGAAAGGAGACAGCTGTTTTCTGTCCTCAGCTGGCGCGCAGCGGGGCCAGCAGGTAGATGGGTTGGACCAGTGATGGAGGTCGCTGGGGTGGCTTCAACTCTGCTCCTAGTAGCAAAGCCGATAGGTATCACTCGTGGGAAGGACAGGGCTCTGAAGTGAGGATGTTCCCCATCACCCAGCTCTCTGCACAAGCCAGGCTGGGCTGAAAACTTCATGAATACTGCCCTGCATGCCCCCAGCATGTTATGCCCTCAGTGGGGCTGAGGATAATCCCGAAACAAGGGCAGTGGGAGCACTGTCATCATAACCTATGGTCTTGGTCTGAGAGGAAACCACTTAACCGAGAGGTCTCTGAAGCCCTGGCAGGGCTGGGGGGAGATTTATGGCGGGGGTGGGAGGAGGCGCACAGCCAACCCTCGCCACCACGTGAGGCCAGCAAGTGCTGCGGTCGCTGTTTTACGAGGCTGCGGTAATTGCAGACCCGCTCTTGCCTCGAGGAGAACGGTCAAGTGTCGCGGCGGCCACTAGCACCGGTTGTGTGGCAGGCAGCAGAGAGGACAAGGCTGTCGCTGGGTGTCTGCAGGACGGTTCCAGGTGTCACAACAGGAGTAAAGCATCACAGGGAAGGCAGACAGACCCCCTGGACCTGCTGCCCTGTGTGTAAGACGGGGGCACCTTTCTCCCCTGCCACCCTTCGTCTTCAGTGCTCAGCTTGGAAGCTCTCGGAGCCAGACCTGCCTCACACCGTTTGTACAGCACCTAGCGCAGCAGGGCCCTCGGCTCCGCCGGGGTCTCTGGGTGTTACCGCGGCCCTGGGTGGGTCAGAGAAGGCCGGTGCTGAGGACATGACGTGGGTTCAGGGACAGAGGCTGACCTGTCTGGGCGTGAATAAGAAGGGCAGCAGGAGCGGGCAGAGTCAGCGCCTGCGAGCCAGGACTCCTGGGCTCTGTTGCTGGCTCTGTGCTGACGAGTGGCGCTGGGTTGGGCAACTTGCTCCCATCTCTGCGAGAGAAGAGGTGGTGGCACTGGGGGAGGCAGTGGCCATGGAGGGGAAGTGCAGGGACCCAGGGAGGGAGAGGGGCAAGGCAAGGATGCCTGTATCCCTGCTGCGAGGTAAAGTAGGGGGCCAGCACAGCAAGCACCCAGGCCTGTCCTGGGAGGACATGTCAGGCTCAGCCCAGCCTGGCTGCCTTGCCCCGCGATGCCGGGATGGCTGAAGTAATCACTAGGTGGGATGTGATACCTGCCCGGGAAGCCGAATTACCTGGGCAGCCTTAAGGGTATTGAAGACAGGCAGCCAAAGACGTGGTGATCTCTGAGATGAGCTGTGCAGGTGCTGGGGGTGGAAAGAGCAGCTTGGGGGGGGGGGGTCTCAGAGCGGAGGAGCAGGCTACGGCCACGCCAAGGGCAGGCTCTGGGTCTCGGCTCTGCTGCTGAGCTGCCCCCTTGGATCCGAGCCATAGAAGCCCCTTTTCCAGCTGGGCACTTGAGCAAATAAACCCCCCAAATCTGATTCCTGTAAGCAGCTTTGAGCAGCATGGGGGGTGGGGGGCAGCAGCTTAGCTGCTTTGCCTTCAGGAGGCTGAGACGCTTTGCTGCTCATACCAGGCCCATCTCACGTGGCCTTCAAGGCCCTCACCCGGCAGAGCCCTATCATCGTGCTGTGGGGTCAGAGGGGGAAACTGAGGCACAGAGCGGGCTTGAGACCGATTTTCGGAGCACTTGTGACTTGGACATGCTCAGCTTATGGCGCAGTGGGTCATGGGCTCAGCCTTTTCCTGGCTGAGCCGCGTGCCCCCGAATGCACTCCTCCAGCCACAAGACAGGACAGGATGCCTCAGGGGTGCCCTGGCGGGGGGCAGGTTTTGCCCCTGAACTCAGCAAGCAGCAGGCACTGGGCATGCTCAGCTTGGCCGAAAAACCAAGGGACTGCCAGGCTCCTCATAACCTGCCAGCCCACGGGGCATCATCCTTTCCACCCGCCCTCCCACCATGCCTGCAGGGCTCAATGAGGAAATGCCAGGCCCCTGCCCACGAGTCGGGACCCTTTCCCCATCAAACACGAGACCCCGCCGCTGAGCTGTAGCACTGTGCCTCAGTTTCCCTGCCTGTCTCACAGCTCAACGGTACCGTCAGGGCTTGGATCCCCCCGGCAGAGGGGCGCGAGCTCTGCTGGCGTCAGGGGCTCCTCAGGACATCTGGTCTCTTGCAGTGGGGGAGAGAGCAGAGCAGCTGTTCCTGTCCATAGGAGCCGCAAGCCAATTTGGGGGCCTGGGGGCTCAGGATTTGTGCTCGCTTGCTCTCTCTCCCCCTCTCTCCAGCTACGACTGGTGAGACTCTGGGGATATTTGCATGGAGGTGGGTGGCAGCAGCTGAATCAGGCTGACATGGAGGCTCAGGCTGGCTGAGCGCCGCCCCGGCTGTGCAGGAGGCTCCGAGCCGACGGGGACCAGACCCGCAAGCGGCGCTCGTTCCGCCCCATCCCTCCCGCAGGGGAGCCTGGGCCAGACCTCGGCAAGCCTAGAGGGGAAACCAGCCCCCATTCCCGAGCCCAAGGCAACGTCTGTCATTTCCCTGCCATCGCCGGGGGCTCTGCAGCCCCCGCAGCACCGTCAGCGTCGCTGACACAAGGGCTGTCTGCAGGCTGCGTGGAGACTGCGAGATTCCCCAGCCTGCCTCGGTGTCGGGTCGGGTACCGGATGCAGGGGGTGGCAGCGACCTGTAGCCTAGTGGGTCGCATTGGCGTCATAAAGACGGCGTCGGTGGCTGGGTCTCATTCAGGCTGTATTGCCGGGGCTCAGGTGTGGGCTGGCGGCTCCTGCTGACTCTGCCACTGACCATCTGTGTGTCCCTGGGGAAGTCACTGCACCTCTTCCCCGGGCAGGAGGAAAGCCGGCTGAGCATCAGCTGCATACAGCAGAAACAGCATGGGCGGGGGTCACAAAATCCCAGGTTCATGGAGGGCCCTTTTAGGCTCTGTCGTCTTATGTCCATCACCCAGGACCATCTTTGAAGAACCGCTCTGAGTATCCCAGGACCTGGCTTCTTCCTCTCAGACTCGTGCAGGCGGGACCTGGAAAATGAGCGCTCTTAGCACGCTGAGTTGAATTGCACCAATGCTCACTACAATATAGGGCTGGAATAAATTGCTTTTAAGAATCGCACCGTGGAGTATTTGCAGGAATTAATTTGCCGGCCTGACCTCAATACCGCTGTCTGTGCCAGCGACTTCCCCACATTTGATTAACGCTGCCTGTCATTTCTTCGGAGCAATAATGGTGCAAGTGAGATGTAGATGCCTAAGGAGGCCTCCAGAAAATTAGGTTTCTCTCTGCTTTCTTAAAAAGTGTGCAAATTCTCTGCAGTCTCCCAGCGCCGGGTCTGCTTTCCTGCCCACTGGGCTTGATGGGCAAAGCTGCTAGGATCGTGCCCTGCAGCTGCCTTGCTGCAACAACCCTCCGCCCCCTCGCACCTACAGTCCACTGGCAGGCACAGTCGCATCCGCCCGGCAAGAAGCATTGTGGCAACAAGCAGGTGTGCACAGCTCTAAGAAACTGTTCAGCTACACCAGAGGAGCAAGGGTAGGGCAGTCCATGGCACAATCAGAACAAGGACCAGGGACGTGGCCCTCAGGAGGCGGAGAGGGCTGTTGGGCCATGTGCTGAAAGGGAAAGGGCTTGGAGCAGCGGGCACAGACAAGCTCCTGGTGTTCGCCGCCGGCTCTCTTTGGGGAAGCCAGACTTTGTACCTTCTCTGTGAGCAAACAGGGTTGTCTCAAATGCACCCCCTGCTTCACTGGGACAGCTTGTAGGATGCCCATTCCCACCAGCAGCACAGGGTGACGGGGTACTACCAGGGTGAGCCAGGGGATTGTTTCCCAGGAGAGTCTGAGCTGATGCAAAACCCCAAGAAGAGCGAAACACAGAAGCAAAACCAAGACCTGGAGAAAGAGTGAGCGGCTTCACGACAGGA